TTTTATTTAAATATTTTAGCATTTTAAAAAAATAAATCAGAGCTAAAAAAGTGCAAAAACGCAGGCAAATTTGCCTGTGTTGGTCTACATATTAAGGGATATTATAGCAAGTTTTTAAATACATGTAGCAGCACATGTAGGATTTGTTAGCAAATATCAGTGCAATATCATAGGTGGATATTTTTATAGCAGCCAGGTATTAGCCAAATATAACTTTAGATAGTTTAGTTTTTTAAAAATATATATTTTAATAAATTTATATAAGGTTATTAAAGTAAAAAAAAAAAAAAAAAAAAAATTAAAAATATTAGCAATTTTTGAATTTTTTTTTTCTCCAGGTACCATATTCATAGAATACAAATAGAAATTCTTGGTTTATATATCTTCTAATTAATATAAATAAAATTAAATAATAAATATTCATGAACTTAAATAACTTAATTTTACATCTTTAGATTAATGTTTTTTTGTACTTATTATTTAATTGATATAAATTAGATAATTAATAAGATTTGGATAAAAATAATAGAAATTTGATAGTAATTTGAAGAAAAAATTAATTTGATAAAAATGTATTCTGAGTATAGTGAGTAATATATCTAGGATAGGTTTATTTAACAACAATAAATCAAAATCTATACTGAAATTGTTGTCCTTAAATTTTTCTGAAATTAGATCAAATCTAATTGATTCTTATAAACAATAATTGCTATAAAGCTTGATTTTTTCTCCTACATTTCATTTCCTCCTATTTTATCAAGTTTTTTAAAATACTTTTTTTTATATTTGTAAAAAATGATTTTATATAAAACTGATAAATATAAAAAAAAAGAGAAAAGTTATACAGTAGAGTAAATATAAAAAAAGTATATAATTAAAATTAATATTATAGGCTATAGTATAAAAAAAGTCTATAAATAATATATTGGAGTATTTGAATTTCTTATATAGCTATATTTAAAATTATAAATAAATTTTAAAAAATGAAACAAATCAACTAAATATTAAATCGATTTTAATAAAGATATTTTGAATTAATTAGAACCATAATACTATTTATCAATAATATCAGGCTTCTATTAAATTTTGTGTTCTAGAATAAACACATTTGATATCAACAACTGATCAAAGATTAGGCAAAAATAAAGAATCATTCCTTAAAGAGTCTATTTATCATTTATCATATATTTTACTCTGCTATATACATATATAATTATCTTCAAATCATTAGATAACTAGTAGATAACATATTGTACTAATCAAAGATTTAGTATAACTATTTTAAAACTTAATAGAGTTAAAGCTTGCAATGTACTTCTCAAATATCTAGAAGAGGTATAAAAGATAAAATATATATCAGTTGCTATGAGAAAAAATAAAAATATATAAAAATTACGGTTAGATAATAAAGAATAAAAAATATAAAAGTTATGTTTAGTGACAAAATACATTCTATGAGATCATCTGCTTTCATAGGCTTCATCAAAGCATAAAGCAAAAATAAATTAAATACTTTTTTTTTAATAATATTGTCTCTTAAAATCATTATCAACAAAAGTTTAAGTTAATTTTTAATTAGAGAGTATTTTCTTCTTTTAAATTTTTTTTATTTTTTATCTGGCATATTATTTAATATTTGTACTTTGTACTATTAAGCTAAAGTATTTGTTTTTAATAATGGTTGTTCTCAAATGCCTTCTTCTATAAGCAAAGTAGTTTTGATTATTTGAACTGCTGAAATTTCAGTAGCAGGTAAAAAAGCAAGTGCTAGAATGTGCCTAATCTTTGAACTAAAATCTTGATCTTTTTATACAGCCTAGTAAGGTAACCAAATTTAATTGGTATTAAAAATATAATAGTTTAAAAACTTCCAAATAGTCTGCAATTTCAAAAAATAAAAGTGGCAATTAAGCAGATTTTACCTATAAAGATTCATAATAATATTTGTTGCTAGAAAAACATTTACTTAATATTATTTTTAAAAATATTTAGTATAGTTCTGAAAACAGAAGCTCTGGTATCATACCCATATAGCTCTAAAGATGTTCAACAGCAGTAGCATTAACACAAACTCTATACAATTGGCATGCCACTATTTCTAATCTATTTGTTGAAGACCTAGCAAAATTCCAAAATCTTAATATATCATTCTTGAATTGGCTATAAGCACTATTAAACAGATAAACTTTTTTAAAATAATCATTGAATTTACTTATACAAGTAGGATCTTTTCCTGTTCAGGCTTTGTAGTAATAAATCAAATATTTTTCTAATCTTGAATAATTAATTGACTTACCCAGTGACTTATAGTGCTTAGTCCTGGAAACAGAAGCTCTGGTATTATACCAGGCAAATATGATTTGTAAATATGATTTGTAGTACTTGACTCTGGTATTATACCAGCAGCAAAGGTGACTTCGAAGGTGGTTATAATGGCAACCATGTTGAAAGTTAATTAACTTTTCAGAAGTTTAGGGTCCAAATCTTGTATTTTGCAATAAATGCTTTGTGATAAATGAAAATAACATCCTTTGTTTACTTGTTATTAGGAATATACAAGTGGTAGAATTTTAGAATTTTTATTGTTAATTTTTTTAATTTGCTTTATTGATTATTTTTTTTTTAAAAAATATGTTTATTCGTGTTATTTTTTTTTAATTAATTAATTCATAATTTTATTGATTTGTCTTTTTGCAAATATTTAAATGTTAAGGTGTTGATTTGGACCCATATCGATTGGATAGTATAAGTTGTTGGAAAGTCTCATCAATTATCCACAAAGATAATTGTTTTACGTTATTTAGTGTTAGTGTTTCAAGCAGATTAAAATTTTTACGGCTTGGCTAAGCCCTTATATATAATAGCTTTGCGGCTTAGTCGATAGATAGACTCTGTACATGAAATCAATGAATTGATCTAATTATAATACCTTTTCGTTTTACATTTAGTCGCTAGCCTAAAGACTATTAATCGATGTATTTGTTATTCAATTTTTATAGTATTATCTTTACACGATGTATTGCATTTCGTTTTAAGTTCATTATATTTGCCTGAATATAGCCGGAGTAAAAAAATTACTTATCGTTATTAATTGATGAGATCGATATAATTCAACTAAGAGCCTATAAATGCCTTTTTAATTCTATTTTATTCATGTTCATTTATTAAGAATAAAAGATCATTAATAAACGCATTTAGAATAATCTATACAAGTTTGTAGCATAATGTTTCATTCAAGATTTATTATTTTTTTTATTCACGTAAATATAATAAATAGTGAATATAAAAATCAGATGTACAGTATTCTATAATTTGATAGAATTTAAAATTACGAATTATAGTTTGGAAATCATTTACGGAGTGAATTCTAGATCAGTTATGTTTCAACATATCACGAGATATAGCGATAGATATGATTATTGTTGTGACTTAAATTTGAAGATTATGGGCAGGCTAAGCAGCAGGCTTGACCAGCTTAAAACACTAAATGCCGGTGTTATTATAAAAAGATCTTCCAATTCCTGACCAAAAAAATTTGATTATCTATGGACTGTGACTTCATGGGGATATCAGAATGGTAAATTTGTTAATTGTTTGCTTTTGATGGAAGTTTAATTTTTTCTGTAAAATAATGATTTATATTAGTTATAAAGTAAACCTAACGCTAATAAATTAAAAGACATATATATGTTGCGCCTCGTAAAGGTTAGATCCGTGAATATTCAAGGCCGAAAATGAATATTCAATAAAGAAAATATCAGTTACATAAAGTACATGAATAGTCGAGGATTAGTTATTTACACGAACTTCGTGAATAGTCAAGGATTAAATCGTGAATAATCAGTTCATTTAACTATTACGTGACATCCATGTAAAATTAGGTTGTCCATTCAATATGTCAAAAACCCATGAGTTTTATTGAATAGCCATAATGGTATTCAAAGGATCCAACTTCTAGTGCCTCAGATCGGTTTTTGCCTCAGGTGATAATTAAGGCACCTTAGATACATAACTCGTTAATCTGTTGTGCAGATCATGTCTGATAAGATTTATTTTGAAAAACTCAAAGCTTCGGTTATGAAACATTTGCAGCCCAACAAAAATTCATTGGAACGATATATTTTATTTATTCACTTGTTAAGCTCTTCAAAAATCCCTACTTCAAAGAGATTTCTTACGTCCAAACTTTGAAAGAAGGTTTGTATAATGGACGTTTATCTAAAATACATGATAAATTGGAATGGAGTTAAACATTTAACGATATTCAGCTCCGATCCAAACAAGAAATATTTCAGTATAAATAGTCTAAATGAATTTATCAATATTATTGAATCAAAATTCAACTACGAATCAAATTCAACTACATTTGGACTATTAGAGGCGTTAAAGCAGTATGATTTTTTGACGAATATCCGCGGATATGAGAGTTTGATACATTTACAAACTCTGATAAAGCTTAAACAAGGTTTTAAGTGTTGTGCAAGATAACTCTGCAAAACTTGACCAACTTTCCAGACACTGTGCCAAGCTTGAATATTTGATTAAAGAACAACAAATGCAGCTTGGGCGTGATTAATAATATAACGATAGTGGTCTATATTTTTGCGACGTAACACATCCAAAATTAAGTTTCGCTTGAATGTATGCCCAATAGTTTGGTGTTTAGAACTAGTAAAATTTCCTTAATATATGAATTCGTTAAATTTCGTGTATGGAGCATTGTAGTACATCAACAACAATTAGAAGGATTGTTTAATCGCTATGATATGAAAGTTCGCCCGAATATCGGATCTCCAAGAAATTTCTCAAGACATGTTGAAGACATTCAACAAAATGACAGAAAATAACGTTATTGCTATAGAAAGACAATTTTTATTAAACATTTTCACGTTAATAAATTAAAAAGATTACAGATACATTATATGATACCGAAACATTTAATAATAAGAAGGCCGTATATATTTTTTTACCAAGTATTACGGGGGAATTAAAAATCTTAGTGCTGCTGATTCCAACACCACTCAACCTACCCAAAACCTTAAGCAAAAAACGGCAAAACAATCGAAAAAGATCAATCTTAATACCACTATAACCACTCATAACCTTAACGTTACAACTCCAAATCTTAGCACCTTCAACACCACTCCGACTATTCCAAACCTCTTTATTACACTATGTAATTAGACCGATAATAGACCCCAAAATCTGAGGTGCCTCAGTTATCTGAGGCACTATATGTAATTTAAAATTAAAAAAAAAAAAGTAAACTAAAAATAAATTAGAAAGAAAAAAAAAATCAAAAAGCAACCAATGCCAATAGATAGAAAGGATTTAGAGCATCTGATTGTAAAAACGTATATCTAATTCAAATTAGAAGACGCTAATAAACCACACTTTCCAAAAAAAGACAATCAAAAGTAAAATTAATTTCTAAAATTCTAAAATTCAAAAAGGAGACTACATTTGATTATCAGATATTCTCTAGAAATCATAAGCTTGACCCCCAAAGCTAGATTTAGTTTGCATTTGCGATACTTTTTTCAATTACTGAATTATATAGAGACATACAGTATATACTTAAATATATATTTGAAAAAAAAAGGAATTTATATTTTATATGAAATCTCATGAAATAAATAATTTAACAGTAATTAATTTGACAACTAGCGAATTTTGGCAGATAAATTGCCGCAATAATTAAGAGGGGGTAGTTTAGGTAAAATATATACTGTATTTCTAATAGAAAAGTGTTATGATGATATGCCTATTACGTATTTAGGAGGCATTGAAGAACATGCCACCAAAACAGTGTGTTCTATACAAAGCAACTTACCCGATAGTACACCATCAAATTTATTACATTTTTTTGTAAGTGAACTAATGGTATATTAATTGAAATTTTTCGGAGGATTGAGGCTAAGATAGTTCCAGTTTTTTAAAGGAAAATGCAGACTATATTTTTCACTTTGAACATCTATTAGTGTAATCAAACTGTACTATGCAAATGTTGTGACTATTTAAAGGCTCGAAGAAGACTGAAATACAGTAAATATATTTACGTATTCGCAATGTGCAGAACCGGTAATGTCACGTTATTAAGGATCGTCGATTTCGTCCAATCGAAAAATGTCCAATAGAAACTTGGGAAATTAGTATGTTCGGTCACTATGATGATCGGACCAATCAGAATTTTGAGATAAATAACGATCAAAATTAACTTTTTTTTTTATCAAAAAAAAAAACTCTTTTTTCAGAGCAAAGATGCAGAGCGAATCCGAAATTCAAGAAATTCAATTAAAAGATGATGATATTTTAAATTCATTAACAAAAGAAATTGAAGATTTATCTGAAGAAGAGGATGAAATCATTATTTCAAAACAATTACAAGCAAAAAACCGAAAAAAGAAAAAATCGGGAGGCTTTCAATCAATGGGTATTAGATGTGAATTTTTCTTTTGTGAAATTGAATGATTTATAATTAAGAAATTAATCTTCTTTTAAACTTTAACAAGGGTTAAGCTATCCAATATATAAGGCAATACTGCATAAAGGATTTAAAGTTCCAACCCCAATACAACGCAAGACGATACCGTTAATTATGGACGGTAAAGATGTAGTAGGCATGGCACGTACAGGTTCTGGCAAGACTGCCGCATTTTTGATTCCGATTGTAGAAAAATTAAGAGTTCATTCTGCAAAAGTATGTAAAATTCTTTTTAACTGTACGTACAGTTTAGACTTCAACGCTAATGTAATATGAATGCTATACTACGATAGGTCGGTGCTAGAGCGATTATATTGTCACCTTCACGTGAACTAGCTCTTCAAACACAAAAAGTATGCAAAGAGCTTACTAAATATACAGATTTGAGAAACTGTCTATTAGTTGGTGGTGACAATTTAGAGGATCAATTTGCGATGTTCGCTAACAATCCTGATATGTATGTATTTTTTTTTTTCATGTCTTTTTAAACGATCACTAAATCAACATATCAACATTATTTTGTAGCATAGTAGCAACCCCTGGGCGTTTTCTTCATTTAATTGTAGAAATGGAACTTGAACTTAAAACCGTTGAATACGTTGTTTTTGATGAAGCTGATCGGTAATAGTGAAAATCTTTATGAAATTTATTTAATAACCTCCGTTACATTTATTATAATGCTAACTTACCTACCTTATAAAGATTATTTGAATTGGGATTTTCGGCACAGCTTCATGAAATATTGCATAGGTTACCTCAGACACGTCAAACCATGCTTTTTTCTGCTACTTTGCCAAAATCACTTGTAGATTTTGCTAATGCCGGACTTCAAGATCCATGTTTAGTACGACTAGATACAGATACCAAGATTAGTACCGATTTAATGGTATGTGTTATAGTTATTTATTGTTCTATCAAGTTTATAAATAATTTCTAATTTAAATATGTTACCCTATCAATAGATGGCGTTTTTCTCTGTGAAACAATTAGAAAAAGAAGCTGCACTATTATATATTCTATATGAAGTCATTAAAATACCTAATACTCCTACATCATCAGCCACTATACCTAATAATAAAGACGGCAATCTATCAAATACATTGTCGCAATCTTTACAATCTAATCAGACAATTATTTTTGTATCAACAAAACATCATGTTGAATATATCACAAATCTTTTGAATCTTTGTGGATTTCAAACGTCATATATTTATGGTTCTTTAGATCAAACTGCTAGAAAAATACAAATAAATAATTTTCGTAATGGTCGAACTAACATTTTAATTGTGACAGATGTAGCGGCCCGTGGAATAGATATTCCAATATTAGAAAATGTGATCAACTATGATTTTGTAGATAGTAGTAAAATGTTTGTTCATAGAGTAGGGCGAACAGCCAGGGCTGGTAGGAAAGGTTGGGCCTACTCTTTAATTACACCCGAAGAAGTATGTCTATACAACTTTTTTAACAAAATAATCAAAATTTTTAAATTCAACTTTATAATGAATGAATGTTTCACAATATTTTAGCTTCCCTATTTACTTGATCTTCAACTTTTCCTTGGTCGTCGATTGTTAGTTGGTTCAGCTACAGATTCAACACCTGATTATACATCAGATATCATTATCGGATCCTTACCTCATGATCCTTTGGGATCTTATGTGGAATGGGTAAAAGGAAAACAACAAGAAACTAATAATTTGAAATCCCTTTGCGATGTGGCGAAAAATGGTTATAAGTTATTTTGCAAATCTAAATCATCAGCATCTCCAGAAAGTTATAAAAGAGCAAAAAAAGTTATAGAAATGAGTAATTTCAATGATGTACACGTTCTTTTTGGTTTGTATATTATATGTATTATTCATGTGTTGTATGTTATATTTCTATGTAAAGTTATTAACAAACATATATTTCAAGCCGATCAAGTTAATGCTCAAGAAAAAAATCGAATCTGTTTCATAAATTCAATTTCAAATTTTCGACCACATGAGGTAAGTCAATTTAACGTCAAAAATTAGTTTATTATTTAATGGTATTATTAACATCTATTTATTTATATTCATTTTATTAGACGATTTTTGAAATAGGAAATAGAGGGAAAAAAAAAACATCACTCATATCGCCTATAATAAAGCAACATAAAGAAACCGCAATGAAGACGACAACTGATGCAAAGGAAATGCAAATAAATCATGAAAATTCGCCTAATTGTCATGAAACAGAAGTAAAAGTATGTTAAATAATTTCAGTTTTCTTGTCTATACATCAAATTTAATTTCTTATATTTATTCAAATTAGGAAATCAAAAAACGAAAGAACGATGATGATACTAAAATGTGTTAGTAATTTAGTAATTTTTTAAGAGACAAATGTTTTTTGATCCAGACTATTAAAATTGATAATTCTCTATCAAAATGTTAATCAGCTAAAAAGCAAAAAAAAGATAATTTTCGAGATAATGAATACTATATTTCTCATTATCAAAAAGATGCCAATACAGAAAAAGGGTTTGTAAACTGGATGATTATTTATTTAACTTCAATGAATAAAAATTAAATTAATTATTTTTGTCACAATAACTTTCTGCAATAGATATTCAGTAAACCAAGGCATATCGTTCGCTGAGGAATCGAAAAGAGCACTTTTAGGTACTCAAAATGATGAACAAATTCCAGGCGCAAATAAAAAGAAAAGTTTAAGATGGGATAGTAAAAAGAAGAATTTTGTTCGTAGCAACGGTATAGAGTCTGACAACAAAAAATTTATTATCAGCGAAAATGGAACAAAGTTACCGGCTACATATAAAAGCGGGAGGTTAGGAAAATGTTGGATCTTGAATTTATTAACATATTAGAACAATATCCTAATGTTGCTATTTATTCCCACAGATTCACAGAGTGGCAACAGCAACATAAGTTATCGATACCTCGTATTGGCGAAAAAGAAATACCATCTGCACATTTGGACGTTAAAAAGCTTCGGCATAAAAAGACTATTTCCGAACCTTTAGATCCTCTTGCTATGGATTACGAAAAGAGACAACAAAAGACTTCTAAGAAAGCAAATTCCCGGAATTCCGGTAAAGCCAAAAATGAACTTAAAACTGTAGACCAAATTTGCAAGCAAAGAAGAATAAAAGAAAAACGAAAAGCTAAAAACGCAAGACCTAGTCGAAAGGTGCGACTCAAGAAGAAATGATCCCACGACATATCGTTTAAAGAAATGTCAGATATATAGTTATTTAATTAATACCAGAAATAAAAAAATTTACTATTGCTTCGGACCATATTGTTATTAATTCTTTTAAACGAAGGCCTTTCCTTTATTAACAAACTGAATATCTGCGCCTAAATCTACTAAAACTTGACAAAATTATATAGTACAGTACATATATATATCTGAATGAATTAAATTTGGAAGTCACTAATTTCCAAAAGTTCAAACTATATATCGATATGTATGCAATTCACCTTTGTTTAAAGCCATAATTGAGTAATTTGTAATAAGTATCAAACTATCTATGGTTATCAATTCGATGAAGTGTTTGAATACTTAGACACATTAATATTAGTTATATATACAATATATACCGGGTGGGTGAAAAGTCTTTAAACAGGGCCCTTTTTACTACGTATCTCCGCTAAACTTTATCGATATACTTGATTTAAATACAATTTATACATAAATATTGCAATGATTACTAATTATAACGTTAAAATGATATTCTTGGTGATTAAAAAAAAGGGGTCCTTTTAGAGACTTTTCACCCACCCGGTATTTTTTTAATACTCTATTGCAAAATGCTTTAAAATAAGGTACATATAAATTAATGTATTAACTAAATTTTTTAGGCGCAAAAAGGGTTTGAGCATTTAATATATTTGCTATCACTTTTTATATGTTAAAATTCGTCAAATCGAAATGATATATATTTGCTTCCTGTATAGCACATCCTTTTAAGGAATCTTTATCAATTCCTTGATGAAAGTTTAAACTAAGGATAATCAGACATTTGTTACCCGATTACTGAAAAATAATTATATCAGTCATTTTCTTGCTTTCGATGAAATTTGAAATGTTTTATTTTATTTTTTTATGATATAAGCAAGATAATAGAACAGGGACCTAAGAAATAAAACATCTCTTTTTGCCAATGTTGCATTGCCTTTTTAACGAAACTAAATACCTTCATCAAAGTTGTATTATCATAGCAGCAATTTTTATGGATTAATAGCACCATATTGATCACGTGCTGCACCTGACGAACCACTACTTACACCAGTACCTCTATCAGTATAATAAGGTTTAGATTGTTGTTGTTCAGGATCCGCACGACCAACCTTAATAAGTCGTTCGTGTTCAGCTCTATAATCACGATCACGTTGTTCAGGAGTCGGTAAATTTGCAATAAGAACGTATGCCGAAATCAGAGCGAGAATCTGTATCCAATGAGTTGGAAGACATTGATTGACATTAAGGAATCAACGGATAAATAAAAATCACAGTTATAAAATTAACAAACCTGGATAAGAGCCAAAATAATCCCCCAAACACCGAGTGCAGTTTGATGATGCCTATATGCTTGGGTTAAAACTGCCAAACAAGGTTTGTCATAACCAAACCAAGAACTTTTAGTGCAGGCATCTGGGCTTTTTTTTGGGATGGCACGATCTGTTACATTCCTAAATCCGCAGCACGAATACTATTGATGACAAAAAAAAACTTTTTTTGTTATAAATATAAGCATAATAAATAGATCATAATTTACCTACCTTATCTTCGATGTCGCGAATTATTCTAGGATTATCGGTATAAGCAAATTGCCACCAAGTGTCAAGAACGTTTTCGACCTAAAAAGGAATTGATATTAATTGATCAACGAGTATTGATAATGAACAATTGTATTAAACTTATCTGTTATTGATCGAGAATACGTACGTTTTGCGTGTCGATCAAAGTAACAATCGCAACGATAACTTGTAAAACGATCAATATCAAAAGTATAATGAAATACTATTTTTTTTAAATTATCAGTAAAGAAAAAACAAGTTGACAATCATTAAACAATAACCAATTTTTTTTGGCAAAAAAAAAAAAAAGGATACAGCCCATAAGACAGGTTTACTCTCGGCTACTCCACCACAACAACCAGTAATAGAAATCAAAAGAATGATGATGCCAAAAATGATAGTATCAAGAGGAATCGCGTTCGAGTACAAGCTTACATCAGGGGACGCGAGTTCATAAAGTCCCAACACGATAAGGATAAAACCTACAATCTAAAAAGCACAACACAGATAAATCCAGAACATAAAAAAGTACGATATCGATAATCGAAGATTAACAGATATGAACACTAACGGTAGTTAAAGTGTTTGTTAGAATAACAATAAGTCTTCCAGCCTCCACGCTTACTCCCATTTTTTTCATAAAATTATTTTTGACCAATTAAAGAAGCTTGTTTAACAATAACCCCTTCACTATAAAATATATATTAAAAAATCACAGCTTAGGATGTTTTATGTGAGTAAGGAACCAAACGTGAGCAAAAACAGATGGAAAATATTCGTGAGAAATTAGGAAATCGAGATCATATTTATGTGAGAGTATTTTTTACTGATCTTCAATGACGTGAGCAATCGTTAATAGTCAAATATATACCGTATTTCATAATAACATCATTTTCTATTACTATATTAACATTAAATTATGTCATTGATCTACATCGTCTGGGCGTATATCGCGTGACATAGTTAATAAGAGAGAAAAGAAAACCTATAACGCCTTGAATTCCTACGCTATTATAATTTCGAACAACTCAACCGTTTTTAATAACAGATAA